CATTTATAAAGATACAGTGTGTGTAATGCTCACTGTAATTATACCCATTAGGTGACATCACCTTATTGTAAGCGTAGTGATGTACATGTGTGAACATAATGCATATAATCTGGTTGCCGTATGTGTTTGTAAGCCTGGTGTGTATTCATTGTGTGTGTGCGAGCGTGTATGTGCATAAGTATAGAGTGCAAGTGATGTTTTTACATGTGCATTGCTGATTCCTGCCCTGTCTGCATGTTTGTGTGTGCACGTGGGTGTGTGCATGAACTCTGTCTCTGAACATGTAAATCTAAATCAGACCGGGTCATCACAGCTGCTGTTAGTTTGTAGCATTTATTTGTCTGGTGTTGACTAAATGTCAAACACTTTATGGAACATTATGCAGCTTGTGTGTTTTGTTGGAATTTTCTTCTGGCTGTTTCCTCGCTCCATTACCTTGTGCCTCTCTGGGTGTCTGCTCTCTGCACATCAATTTAAAGATTGTTATTTCCCCCCCGAGTTGGAAGAGGAGTGACAAATGAGGAGTGAAGATAACTGAGAGAAATAAGAAGCCAGAAAAAGTTAAAGGGACAGATGAGGAATAGATGATAATAATGAACGTGCTTCATCAAAGATACAATAACTAAAGCCACTCTATTAGCCCTGATGACCCCTACAGTGCTAAGAGCAACCTTTGAAATGACCAATCAGCTCTGTGGAAATCACTCACACTTGCATACACTCATAATCAAAGTCATACAGAGAAACTCATTAAATTACCAGTGTTAACCATTTGGCCGTTGTGGCATTTGCCTGAGGCAGAGTGATGTGTCTGCATGAGCCTGAGTGAGTGTGAGGACATTGGAAAAAAATGGTTACTATAGCAGACAAATCATTGTCTTATATAAAATGCATAGCAATATCCATATTAATGATAATCTGCTCTGGATGTTTGAGAACCTGGCCAACATGACGGCTCCCCAAATGTGAAGCTTACATATCTTGATTTCCCCCGGTGGCTGGCTGCAGTATAGGTCATTAACCATTACAGTAATATCAAAAAATCAAAGTATATATTGAATAAATGTTTCTCAAAGATGGTTTCTGTTTTTTTAGTTCTTGTTGTTGTTCAAGTGTCCATATTTGTGACATTAGTTTTAATTAGCTAATTATCTGATGCTGAAAACATCATGGCAGAACTGAGAGTGACATGAAATTGGTCAAGCACATGTATCAGTCAGATCTCACAGTGAGTCTTAGAGCTGTCACTGTTAAATCAAAATTTTGGTTTCTACACCACAAGGCAAGGTGATTATACCCAACAACAGATAAGGCTATTTGTTGATTTTGTGTGTGTGTGTGTGTGTGTGTGTGTGTGTGTGTGTGTGTGTGTGTCATGTCAAATTTGGTGGAATTTTATTTTTGAAACATGCATAACGATAAATAGTAGCTCTCTGGTCCACAGCTACCTCACACAATACCTCCACACACATGTTGACACACATCCAGGTGGACTGGCTGTAACAATCCTGATAATTGTTGCGACAGCAGTGATGACAGCTGTGAAATCCTGAATGACAGACCGGACAGAGAAATGGCCTCATTCACTCATTCACTAACACCACGTCCACTGTGCGTGCGTGCGCGCGCGTGTGTGTGTGTGATCATTCAGTCATTCATGTGGAGCTTGTTCTCATCACCAGACACTGACTTATTCTGTGTCATATGTTTCCATGTTGAGATCAGACGGTTGCATAAAGATACATGGACACATTTGAAACATATACACAAAGCATACCTCAGCCAATCCAACACTGGATATTAAGTCCCATTTAAAGCTCTATTTGGTTTATTTGGAAAATTTCATTGCATTGTTTTTCTCTGTCTCTTAAAGTTGCAAACATTGAAAGTGGACAGCAAAAAAACTAGGGTGGAATAATAAGATGGAGGCAGGAATTAGGTAAAGAAGCAGGGAGGCAAGCGGGGGAAGGATAAACTGTGTGACTTTTTACTTTTCTGTTCCACCAGACACTGCCCACTTCTTACATATTTCATCTCTCTGGCTATATATAAAAAACCTTGGCTGAATTATAGATAAACCAAGCCAGTCCTACCCTCCATGTGTCTCTATCACACAGCGTTCTTGTCTTTTTTCGAACACTAAAGCTCATCTGCACCACACTGTCAGACACATGCATTTTTCAGTAAAGACACAAGAGAGTGACCTGTAAGAAGAAATGGTGAAAGTAGTCGACTTTAGCCTCTGACAAAAACCCTATGTGTTCACTATGTTGGCCATTTTGACATTTGATTTGTATCTAAATGTTTATAATCTGGATATCTATGGGTATCTGCATTCACACCTGCAGTTCTCGTCAATGATAAAACACTGAAAAGCCTGCATATACAATAAGCAAAGTAATTGGGTGGAAGTATAACTTTCTGAGGACTCAATGAAACTTGGATATTTACAGCTCTGTATAAAAAGTGCTATGAAGTATGATAAAAGTACTGCACACACAAATATTTTCATTCGGATTTAGTTTGTTGAAAAAACACCTCAGCAAAAACCTTCTGTGATCCCTTTGGTTCTTTGACGTCATCTCGCCTTCTCCCCTCTTTGCTTCGCTAGCGTCATTTCCCCCCTTCTTTTCCCTACTGTTCTACTTACTGTCTTACTGTGTGTGTGTGTGTGTGTGTGTGTGTGTGTGTGTATTAGCGGTTCTTCCCTCTGGACTGGAGGCTGCACGTGATTCAGCTCCATGTCTGGTTTCTCCCACTGCCTCTATCCAGTTCTTTTTCTAACTTCTCCCGCTGCTCCTTCACTCTCTCAATCTGACAGTAAATTTTTACTTTTTACTATAATTTCTGTTTTTCTCTGAATGTCTCATCATCTTTATTTCATTAGGTTCCTCTTCAACGCTTTATAAGAGTTTTTTTTTCTTTCTTCACCTCATTTTGCATTTCTATTCCCACTCCCTTTTTTAAATATCTACTGAAGAGTTCTCATTAAACATCTTTCTCAAAAACATCTCTCCATTTCAGTCCTAAACATTTATTTTCTGGCTTGACCACTGGAGTCTGGTTGAAAGAAGTAAAAAAATATGTATCTTACAGTATTTACTGAAAGAAATGATTTAATCTGGTGTTCATGATATTAATTTTTTATTCCTTAATTTAACAATAATAATGTAATACAATATTTATCCTCTCCTCTCTACCTTCTGTCTATGTTCTCATTCTGTTTCATTTGCTTGATCAAAGAGAAACTGCAGGACTTCACCCATATCACAAACACACACACACATACACACACACATACACACACACACATACACACACACACACATACACACTCCTTTTGATCCGAATGTGTGTGATGGTTTTAATGGTGTCAATTTCTCACGGTCTAAATAACATTCTTTCTCTCTTCTGTGTGTATGAGTATATTTACCACTGTCCTTAGACACTGGTAGTAGTAGTTATATAACGCTGTCTTTTATTATCTCTAGGTCTGTATTGTGGCATTATCAGAACATTACAGTAGAGCACTCTGAACTATCGTACTCCCCAGAGACCCTGAAGGCATCACGCTTGCTCAAAGTAAATACAACACGAGTCATCCTCAATTTGCATGACTGACTTACACACATCCTTGCTTCTTTCAGTCTTTTCTTTCTTCCCTCTGTTCTTTTTCCTTTTGATTTACTACTGCTACTTCTTTACTTCCTTTCCTTCCCCCCTTTCTTCCTTTTTAATTTCCTCAATGACTGCCTCTTTTCCTTGCACAGTCATCTACTTCTCTGCACTCTTATATATCTTTTTTTTCCTGGCCTCCTGTCTTTTGGCCTTCACTCCTTATGTCCTTTTCCTAGCTTCATTCCTACATACTTCTTTCCTCATTTCTTCCTTTCTTTGCATTTCTGTTGTTTTCTCTCTTACCAACGGGAAGCTTGTTATTCATCGATTCTCTCCCTCTCTTGCTATGTCTCTATTCTTTATCTTTATTTGTCTATCTCTCTTCCCTCCGTCTGGTACCCTGTCTTAAGCATCTACTCTTTAATAACCCCCCACCCCCCTAAAACCTACCGATCTCTCTTTCTCACTCATTCCATTTGCAGCCCTCCATCTTTCATGTGTGTTCTTAAATCTCTACTGTCTTACTAACCAAGCATTAAAAAAATATTTGACATGAATGACATGACTTAATGCATTTATCCAATTTGTATTTATAATTTTTGGTATTTTTAGTAACTTTATTCCCAACTTGTTCACAGGCCATTAGCAGTCTGACTCAATTTTAGTGTTTAACTTGACTTTTTCTCTCTCTTTAAGCCTTGTTTGTTTTCTTTTAAAATATATGAATATATCTGTTGATGAGATCAAACTGGTTAAAAATGATTTTGAGAAAAATTTAAATTACCAAAAGGACAAAAGCAAACTCAATTACTTACCTATATAGCATAATGCCCACAGACAAAATCACAAGAAAGCGAGGAGTTCAATAGAGCAATAGAAGTGCTAATGGCAGAAGTAAGAAGTTGTGAATAAAAGCCAGATTTATAGACAGAAGTTTAGAGAAAATGAGAGACATTGTTAGAGGGAGATCTTGAGAGTGAAAAAAACAAACTTATAGCTATCATAGAGACAGAAAGAAAAAAATGAGTTGGTAAAAAAGAAATAAAGAGGCAATCAGAAATTAAACATAGGCTTAGAAACACTGATGATGATAATGAAAGAGTAAAGATGGAGGAAAGAGAGTGGATTTCTCAGAGGAAAGAGAAAGATGAGAGGTTCGGGCCTAACTGCATCGTGGACAGTGGAATGAATAGAATTTTCTATTTGTGCTGAATAGTATTGACTGTGTGAGAAGAGATGTGTGTGTGTGTGTGTGTGTGTGTGATTACAAGTCTTTACTACAACATGCTGTGAAACACCTTTGCTAACTGACATGCTTCATGTGTATTTTGCACTTGTATACATGTGTACTGTATTATATGTATGAGCATCATTCCTCTTACCTCCACCAGATGTGGTGTAGGGTTGAAGCCACACAGGTTACACACTTGGCTTTGACACTGTGTACAGGTGTTGTAGTTGGGTGGGTCAGAGCTGCCAATGTTCAGCTCCGTTTTGCAAAGAGGACAGTTCACTTTCGGCTTCACAGGTTCTGGAGCTGGCACAGGGGCTGCGACAGGCTCCTGCTTCTGCTGAGCTTTCTGAAGATGAGTGGGTGTTTGCTGATGTAGTCCTTGTGGTTGTCCCTGCTGCCCCTTTTGATGATGGGCGGGTGACTGCTGTTGCGCCATTCCTTGTTGATAGGGCATGGTCTGCTGTTGTTGCTTCTGAGTTGGCCCATGTGGTCCACCCATTTGAGGACCTCCCATTTGGCTTGGGGCACGAGGACCTCCAATTTGGCTCAGTGCATGAGGACCCCCCATTTGGCTCGGTGCATGAGGACCCCCCATTTGGCTCGGGGCATGAGGACCCCCCATTTGGCTGGGTGCATGAGCAGCCCCCATTTGGCTAGGTGGATGAGGGCCTCCCATTTGAGTTGGAGCATGAGAGCCTCCCATTTGAGTTGGAGCATGAGGGCCACCCATTTGAGTTGGAGCATGAGGGCCCCCCATCCCGAATGCTTTAGTGCCAGCTGTCCCTTGTTGTTGCTGCTGCCTGTTTTCAGGAGTTGCATTGCTGAACACCACCTTGCCTCGTGCAGGGCTTGGCTGGGTGGAGGCGGTGGGCAGAGGGTCAACGTTGATCAGGGTACTCGCCTGATTGAGCAGCGATGCTCCAAAGCCAAAAAGTTTGGTCAGGCCGTCCTGGGCAGGAGGGGGTGCCTGACTTTGAGGTCTGTGGGCCGGCGAGGAGCCGGCACTTCTGGTCTGGTCGTGGTGTCGAGCCATTGGTTGATGCATTGGAGAACCACGACCCAAATCTGGCTGGGAGGGTGCTTTTGTCAAACCAGGCAGGGGCACAGCACCAGGGTGGGGAATCCTTGGACCCCCAGGCTGATTGGGGCCTCCTGTAGGACCTCCAACAGCCCCTGGAGCTCCAGGACCTCTGTGGGAGTAGGGGTCAGACCTCATACCCTGCTGTGAGGGCCCTGTCTGATTCTGGGGGCCGCCAGGGCCTGAGTGTCTCTGTAAGCCTGGGGAGGCGTGAGGCTGAGTCTGCGGCCCTGGCTGGGATGATGGGTAAGTCTGCGATTGAGACTGGGGATACTGCTGGGACTGGGAGTATGGCTGTGACTGGGAATAGGCCTGAGTCTGGCTGTAGGGCTGAGACTGAGGATGCTGCTGCTGTTGCTGCTGCTGCTGTCGCTGGGTGGGCTGACTCTGTGCCAGAGGTTTGGGCTGTGCTGCTGCTGCCGGCTGTGTTGGCTGAGGTGCGGGCTGCTGAGGCTGGACAATGGGTTTGGCTTGGTGGGACGGAGAGTGAATCTGCTGTTGGCTCTTAGAGCGAGGCGTGGTCATATCAATGCCAAGAGCTCTCTGCATCTGACAGTTCAGACACAACCACTCCTGGACCTGTAGACAAAAAACAGACAGTTCTGATGTTATTTTAACCAACTAAAAATTCCTTTCTCTCAACTGGAATTTTTGTCTTGTCTGCATGACAATGTCACTTATACATTCTGTATGATATTGGTCCAACAGTCGAAGTTACACAGTTTATGGCATATTGAAGAAACCATTTGACAGTTTTTTGACCGTACCAACTAGCTGAATTCTAAATATTCCAGATTCCTTGCACATATCAAGTGTCTTTGGGATCTCCAGTGGAGGCTCTGCAGGTTTGAACGGTGGTTATTACCAGATAATAAAAGAGCATCAGAGGAGAAAAATGAAAGGAGGTAAATGAGCAAAATAAAGAGAGTAAATTAACGTCAGTAACAACAGAGGTCAGTATTAATATAAAACATTGTCTATAAGTCACCCAGTTCCCCTTTTAAAGCTGATTGCTATTGATTACTTTGAGTATCACTGCTGACTCAGAGAGTATAAACCAGTGTCTCTAATCATCCAGACCACATAAACTCTGTATTCATTCATCAAAGTTAAAAGTTGGAGATTATGCATGAGAGACAACACATTTGGATGGTGACACATCAAACATGGTCCATCTTTCTTGCCGTGGAAAACAGAAGTGCAGAGAGAATAGTAGTAATCAACCAGAAATAGAGGAGGAGAGTGGTAAATCAACCACAAATTGACTGCAGCACTGAGTGATTGTCGAGCCGAAAACCGCAACCTGAATGAAAAGCATTACATCCTTCAGATACACACAAACACATAAATCCACATGGGCACACACAAGATATACACACATAAAATACAGGAATCAACTGCTGGCACAAGCAAGGCACAAGACGATCAAAGAGAAATGAAATGAAGAGACAACACCCTTCAGCATCTGAAAATAAACATAAAACATCACACCTCCTCCTATTCCTCTCCTCCTGTCTTCCTCTTTCCTTCTCTTCTTCCTCCAGATGAGAGCTGATACTCCCTTGTGCCCAGACCTTGCTTTGCTCTCTAATTTCTCCCGGCTGCAAAACAAAATCCCACAGCTTCTCTCCGAGCTGTGTCAGCCTGCTCTCGTCTTGTCTGCCCTACTGTAGCTTTGCATCCACTGCTGCGTCCCAGCTGCCATTAAGAGTGCTATGTTAGCTCCTCTGTAGCAAGCTAGTAAATCTCTGCACGTTTCAAGCGTTTCTTCCCATCCCTCTCCTTCCCACAATGCAATGCGCAGCTGTCCTGAATCCAGCAATCCACTAACCCCCCTCCCACCCTCTTCAATTTTTTTGGCAAGGTGCTCTGGGACAAGTTTGCCCCTTGAATTTAATGGAAGATGTGGAAAGCACAGGGGTAACATAAGCATGCATCAGTCACACAGTCTAACTAAGCAGTTCCTCCCACTGAGCTTTCCCAGCCTGCTTTGCTGTCTAGCATTTTCTAGCCTGACAGCATCACTGATCCCATGTTCTGTTAACTCAGCGGCTACAGCTCACTGCTACAGCCTCACAACATCCTTTTCCTCCTTAACATATTCTCTTTGTAGCTGTCTCCTCCCTGCCTATCCTCGCCCTCTTTCTCGTATCCCATCTTTCATAATTTTCTTTTTTCTGTTCTCTCTCTGATCAGGGTTGAAAATGTAGGTCTTGTTTCCTGAATGACTGAGGTGGAAAGATATTTGAAGGTATAATTTTGCTGTGCAGGCTCCTCCTACGTTGTGCTGCCATAATTACATCTGATGATGATGAGGAGAGGTAGATAGGGAGAAAGAGAAAGAGAGGGACCTGATTTTAATGAGTCCCTGCACGTCTGACTTGCTCCCTCTATAACCAGCATCATGAGGGAAACTTGAAGAAATGACGGATAGAGCAAGGGATGGAGAGATGGGAACGAGTAAAGAGGAGACGGAGAGAGAGCGAACAGCGGCAGGAAAGAAGTCAGCAGTTTTTTAATCCAGGCAGCTCTTCAGCTCTCATCATGTCAAGCTTAATCAACGGCACAGCAGCAGAATATTCACTTCTGCTTCACTGTGGTTCAAACCAGTGAATCCTTTCATGGGAGTATGGTTACTAACAGGTGAGGATGGTCTGTGGGGTTAAAGGGTTGTTTCAACGAATGTTCAAAAACATTTTACTTAAGTCAGTGCTATATAGTCTTGCAGCTGGTCTTGCTTTTTATCGTAGACACACTATGTTTGAGAAAGTCACCAAAATCATACCAATTGCTTGACCCCATCCCAACAGTTAATATGCTTCTTTTATATTTGTTCAGATAAAAATAGTGGGATTCACAGTACTTGGGCATCAGCAAAAACATACATAATCCACTGAGGCTAAATGAGCATTGGGTACAGTTTTCTAACCCTTGATCTTAACCACTATCATCTCCCTATTTCTAGTCATTGTCTACCTATAATACAAAATGACCAAGGTTGTTGATATGGGTTGTGTTACAGCCCTTATAGGCAGGTTTGACTAGTTTGACTAAGTTGATAATGAATTATCATATTGTTTGTATCAGTACCATACAGTTGTTCAGCATAGAAGATGGAAGCAAAGGACATTTAAATTAGAAAATTGATGGCAATGAAAAAGTAGGTCACACTATGCAGAGAACCTTCGCTGGATTTTTGTCATTAGCATGATTTGTGCCGTTTTTTTCCGCTTATGTTACACATCAATGTCACCTTAATGGGTTTGGGGAGTATTAGTGCAAAAAGAGAATGGACAGGATGTCGAAGAAAGTCGGATCAATTTAAATCAACATAGGTCTTAAAAGTGCAGGTTTGAACATTTAGAAAAGTGAGTGTGGAGTTTGAAAATGACCGTACTAGATCTCAGTAGGCTCCTCATCGCTTCGAGGCTACTTTAGCATACCTAGCCCTCAATAAATAAAGTTCTCTGAGGCTACATCCATAATACTACTTTTTCAACTGAAAACAAAATTTGCAACAATCTCTGTCCACACAAGCATTTGGGCTCCAGATCAGTTGAAAACATGTATCACATGATGACTCAACTATTGGGTCTGCACATGCCAGTGTGGAGAGGAAGGCATGTGCGTCTCGCTTGACACTGGGATTGTCGCAAATTGCTTGAATAATAGCTCGCCTCTTATGTATGAAAACAATTGCATCAATGTAAAATGCAGAATTTAACTGCACAGCAGCTGAGAGTGAAGACAACAGGTTCTGCAATGTTTGTAATTGATAATCCATGTTGTGTTCTACACAGGTTGCCAAGACTGGTGCCCGTTGTTGTCCTTTTTTTTGGAAGAGGGTCGTGGGATAGGAGCCTGACAAATCAGTGAAGGCTACATGAATGAAAAGACCCAATCAGCAATCTGTTGTGAGTGACTACTTCATTATTTCCAAACATTTCCGTTTCTGCCAGTCTAGACGCGGCCCCAGAGTTTTCAAACTAAAAGTAGTCCAGCAACTGCGGTCTCCGTTTGCTTTTAGCTGCTCCAGGCAAACCCATTGCAGAGTTGATGCATTAATAAATCAAAAATGAAGTAGTGTGAGTGTAGCATGAAAAAAAGAGAAAAAGATCCTGTGTCTATGTGGCCCTCAGAAAAGTCATAAAGTGTGTATAGAGTAAATGTAAAGCACAATCAGGGCTTATAATTATAAAGATTTATAATCTTTGACAGAATTTTACCATACCTTTAAAAATGTCTTTTCAAAGACATTGTTGGACATTAGGCAGCTTGAAGCTACTGAAAATAAATCTAACAGTTTATGCAATGACTACACCATGAAAGACATGGTGTGCAGTCAACTGCAAGTGTTAACTTATTAATTTAACATTACGAATTTGTACTCTTATTATTTTGTCCTCCAAAGCATTAATTTCTCCCATACAGTGAAACAGTGAAAACCTACAATTACAGTACATCTATTTGCAGATGGAGGTCAGTGATGACAGGACACCCCTGTCATCTCTAATAAAACATTAGCCTGCAGCCCGAAACAAAATGCAGACAGACATCATCCAACTTTGTTTATGACCAGTAGCCGTCATCTGACCCTCCAAAACTGCCCCTCCGGCCCACTGAAGAGTCCTGGCCCTAGTGACGAAACTTTGGCTATGACACACACTGATAAGGCTGTCACAGGACAGCTCTGATAGGTGTCTTATGTGCCTCAAATCGTTAGAGTACAGGCATCTCCTCAAGTCATAGACCATTTGCTCCTGTCTGTGGACCTTTCACGTTTCTCCCAGTCAGTTTTGCATGTCGGAAAGGCTCAGGCAATTTTCAGGCCTATGTAAGTTATCACAAAAAATAAATGGCTCTCTGAAAGGAGGAAGAAGAGCCCAGACAATCTCCTGACTCTGCACACACAAGCAGGAGGAAATGTAAAAGTAAATATTCTGCCTGTTCTTGTATAATTGTATTTCAGGCTTTAAAACTCTTTCAATATACATCACAGACTCATGGCTGATAGCTTAAATGGAAAGAGACACTTGCAAAAACATATATCTTCACTGGAATTATTAGATTTAACAATAATTAAAACAACAAAATGTGTTTTATAATGATCTCTTTGGTAGCAAGTATTTTAAGTCTATATAAATAAAATGTTTAATATGCATGTACACCAAAAAATCCAAAATCTTGATGCATTTTTGCTTGACACGAGACCTAAATAGTATTTTTGGTCAACCATAATCAATTGATAACAGTTGCAGCTCTAAACTATTTAATTTTTCTATTTTTAGGGACATTCATTTTTAAACATAATTATAAAGGTGAAGGCTAAAGGTTGGGTTATTCAAGAGGCTGAATTCTGTCACTATCTTGTCTCTATCACGCACACACACACTAAGAAGAAGCTTGGTTTTGTATTCAATTTCACCATTTTCCAGGTGTTCAACAACTGAACAGATGTTGAAACTCAGAATGTGAAATACATTTGAAACAGATGTTGCAGCTGGTATCACATTACACTATTAAAATGTTTGAATGTGTTTCATCATCAGTAAATTAAGATTTGACATTGAGCAGAATGG